GATGACCTGAGGAATTATGCCTACGAGGGCGAAGGTTCCTCTCCTGGATCACTGTCTTCATGTGAGTTAATAAGAGAGAGAGAGAGAGAGAGGAGAGAGAGAGAGAGAGAGAGAGAGAGAGAGAGAGAGAGAGAGAGAGAGAGAGAGAGAGAGAGAGAAATCCACTAATCACATACAAATGCATGCATACGACCAGTGAAGAGGCAGGGCCAGGAGCTATGACTCGACCCTGCAACCCAATTGAGTACACACACACACACACACACACACACACACACACACACACACACACACACACACACACACACACACACACACACACACACACACACACGCCTGTAGCCACAATTAGGTGAGTACATAATAACAGAACCAGTATATATAGTGATCCTCACCAAAAGAAATGTCATTTTGTCTGACTTTTTTTTTTGGCTAATCCTGGGCAATTTACACTATGATAATTATACTTACGCGTACCTGTGCCTAAGTAAACTTATATACTCTTCCCTCAGGTCTGGAGAGCTGTAGCGGAAGCACTAAGCTTATGGACGGGTTCCGTGAGGTGGCTCACCTACTGGAATCCTGGGACCCCACCAACAGCCAATCAGTATCCTCCTCCACCAAAACAAACCTCAAGCGCGACACCTCTCTACCAATCACCAACATCCTCTGTGACGTCCATGCCGCCATTGGCCCACAGAGCAAGCAGAATCAGCCAATCAGAGAGCAGCATCGCAACTCAGATCCTCTCGATACCTCAATCCCACTGCCCATTCCAGACCCTTCATGTGCCTTTATGAATTAATACCAATCATCTCAATAATAATATAATATTTAATGTATTAATAAATCTAATAAATTAATAAATAAATGCATAAAATGAGTTGTGTGTTTGAATTTTTACATTTCCTTTGCATTTATAATAGAGTAATGGTTGCTATTAGTATAGTGCCCAGGATAGTGCCCACGATAGTACCCAGGATAGTGCCCAGGATGGTACTCAGGATAGTGCCTAAGTTGGTAACCAGGATAGTGCCCAGGATGGTACTCAGGATAACGCCTAGGATAGTGCCCAAGATGATACCAAGAATAGTTGATAAATTAGACACATGTGCAACTCTTGGGTATCTTTATTGAGGAAACGTTTCGCCACACAGTGGCTTCATCAGTCCATACGTAGGAGAAACTTGAAGAACAGGAGGAGAATGAGGTAATCAGTCCCTCAACCTTGAGTCGATGTGTTCAGTCCATCAATCTTGAATAGAATACGGCATATCAGCGGAGAAGCAGCTTATAAACCGTATGGCAGGAGAGGTGCAGCAGTCATAGGTAGTGTCACATTTGTTCAATGTGGAAGTAGGTCGTGCCCAAGAATTAGGCAAGCGAAGAATTCCTAAGTATTAAGATCCCAAGAAGTTGCAGTGTCTGACAGATTTGTAGATGAATGGTTCAGAGAACCGACCCAAGATAGTACCCAAGATAGTCCCCAGAATAGTGCCCAAAACAGTGCCCAGAATAGTATTAAGTTTAGTTTGTGTGAAGGCAAATTTATTGATGTAGTAAAATAGAAAAAAAATAATGGTTAGAATACATGAAGTAACTGGAGAATGACTCACCTGATCGGCTTCAAACTTTCACCACTGTTGTGGTTTCCTGAACAAGAGACTCGAGTGCCACGAGTCCCAGTTTGTCAATTTTGTTGAATAAATATTGATATTCATTTGTTTATTCAACTAACGAATGCTTCTTCTGACTGACTTAAAAATATTTTTGACAATATATTCAATAAAAATAAAGAATATATCATAAGTTTAGACCCAGTAGATCCAAAGTTGAAATTTTACCCAGTCAAAAACTTGAAGTTGTTGGAATCAGATGAGTTACTGAAGAATGCCTTCTCTGCTCGGTTTCAAACCTGTTTGTCACTCTCTTGCAGCTGTGTAAGTCTCAATTTGCTAATTTTATTACGCAAAATGCTTCCTGAGTAATAACTAGAGCGTGAGATGAAGTAGAGGGGACTGAGGTTATGGAATACAGGGATACCTTGCTCAAGTCGTGCAGCGTTCGAAATACATCTGGTTGTTGTTGTTGTTACGAGGCCCCGAGTTATGGTTTACTACAAACAAGACGGTTGTAACTACGAGACTACCAAATCAGGGCCTCCTACGAGTGAATCCCTGTAGATGAAAGTCATTCATTGAGTCTTGGAATGGCACTGCTTCACCCGTGGATGCAGATAGGTGTGTGTGTGTGTCTTAACAGTGAAGGCGCACGACTAATTGATGGTGTGTGTAGAGAGGCGGTGAGGCAGAATGCTGTGTGAGATTTGAGTTTGGTGATGATGGGAGGGTGAGTACAGCAGACAGGGAATGTCGACTCGTAGAAGTGGTAAACAGTGGAAAGAAGACAGGCTGAAACTATTGTAGTAGTAGCTGGGTTGGTGGGGCATTCAGCTCACACAATGAGTGTCTATGGTTCGATTCCCGATACGGGAGGAAACATTAGTACGTGTTTCCTTAAGACACCTAATGTCCATGTTCACCTAGCAGTAAGTAGGTACCTGGGTGTTAGTTGACCGGTGTGCGTCGCATCCTTGGAACAAAATTAATCTAAGTTGCCCAAAAATACTCTACATAACAAGGGACTTACTATACAGTATGTCAGTGATGTCAGCTATTGTCTGTACATGTTGTACATGTACTGGTAGAAATAAAGATGATTAGTAGTAGCAAAACACACAAGCTTTTTGACAGGGTCGAAGAAGAATGTTCAGCCCTGCAAGGTATGTTTAGTACCAGCATAGACGTGATATATACACCGAGATGTGTATTTATCTCAGCGTGTGTGTGTATATATATATATATATATATATATATATATATATATATATATATATATATATATATATATATATATATATATATATAATATATATATATATATATATATATATATATATATATATATATATATATATATATATATATATATATATATATATATATATATACAAAATTCTTCCTTTTAATATCCCATGATGCAGTCTTCCCACTAAGCCTGATATCCTCCCATTCCTAGGCGCTGTATGACTTACTGCTCAGTATATCCCCATGGGAGAAGATCTGAGGACATATTTCAGATACACCTTTTTCCTGGGGCCTTCTGTGGTCTGGGAAATCGGAATACATCATTAACAGACCCGTGGAGACGATGTTGTATTTGTCAATTATGCTTAATGTATAATTAAGAAAATACAATAGGTTTTTAGTTAATTGATTTTTGTAAAGTTGTGTAAGTGTGCTTACACTTACAACAGCAAACATGTGTCTCAGTATTGTAATATTTGGTAGGCAAAGAGCCCCTTACCGGCATTTGTCTAGTATCTGCGACGGCGGGTTCGCTAGTTCCTTACATAATTAACGAACAAAAATTATAACAACGTGTCAGTCCACTTCTTTCTTCCTCTTTGTATCCCGTCCCAGTCCTCCATTTTCTATATATACACTAGCTTCCTCACCTCCTGTGTTAGTTACCCATGTGCGGGTTATTTTGTATATTACATTAACGGTATTGTGCCTTTCCATTCAGTATTAACTGAAAACACTGCGACGTTAAACACAGTCGAACTTATTACAAAGCCCAGTACAGGAATGGTATATAATCCCGGTAAGACGAAGAATTGCACACATGTGCAACATCTGGGTATCTTTGTTTGTAGACGTTTCGCCATCCAGTGGTTTGATCAATACAAGGAGATAATAATGAAGACTATAGAATTATATACAAAAGATGAGGTAATCAATCCCTCAGTCTTGGAGTTGGTGAAGATCACTGTTGTCTTGAAGACTCTGATGTACAGTCATGGTGCTTCTCCTCACCAACTCCAAGACAATACAAGGACATTATATCCTTGTATTGTCTTGATGAGGCCAACTGGATGACGAAACGTCTACAAATAAGGATACCCAGATGTTGCACATGTGTCTGATTCCTCTATGGCTAAGGTATACTCCTAATTCCCAGGATGCCACCCACAACATTCAAGAATCAGGTGCCTCTTTAACTCTATATAACAAGAGCAGCAGGTGTAAGGAGACTTAACAATACGTCTGGCCCTGTCCAGGATGCCACCCACAACATTTGGATAACCCTCGAAAGCCTAGTCTGGGAAAGCAGTGCCAACCGGGGGAAAGAAATCTCTGCCATACCTTCAGCTCAACCCAGAATGCAACACCGAACAGTTGACTAACGCCTTATACCTACTGAAGATACTGTTACAGGAACAGTGGCAGCAGATGTGTGGAGGCCATACGTCTCACCAGGACATGAGACACATAGGGACAGGTGTTGTAACAGTTAATAACTGTGTAAATGTGTCTCTCAGAGCAGTAATTGGGTGATTAAAGTGTGTTTGTGCAATTAATTCACCCTTTTTCAGCTTCATGCTTCAGGAGTCATTGTGGCGAACATTGTACTGACACTGGCGGAATGGGACGTATTTCAACCTGACTCATTAGTTTAAATTGCTGGCCTGGATGCTGGCGATATCACGAGAGAGAGAGAGAGAGAGAGAGAGAGAGAGAGAGAGAGAGAGAGAGAGAGAGAGAGGAGAGAGAGAGAGAGAGAGAGAGAGAGAGAGAGAGAGAGAGAGGGAGGAAGGATTGACAGAAATTGCTCTACTTCATCACAGTCTAGACTCTAGGTCTAGAGGGACATACTTTACGGATATCTTCCTCTCAGTCTCACTGTTTCGTGAGGATTTCATTGAGAGAAAGATTCCTAGAGAGGAAGATTCCTAGAGAGAAAGATTCCTAGAGAGAAAGATTCCTAGAGAGGAAGATTCCTAGAGAGAAAGATTCCTAGAGAGAAAGATTCCTAGAGAGAAAGATTCCTAGAGAGGAAGATTCCTAGAGAGAAAGATTCCTAGAGAGAAAGATTCCTAGAGAGAAAGATTCCTAGAGAGGAAGATTCCTAGAGAGGAAGATTCCTAGAGAGGAAGATTCCTAGAGAGAAAGATTCCTAGAGAGAAAGATTCCTAGAGAGGAAGATTCAAGAGAGGAAGATTCCTAGAGAGGAAGATTCCTAGAGAGAAAGATTCCTAGAGAGGAAGATTCAAGAGAGGAAGATTCCTAGAGAGAAAGATTCCTAGAGAGAAAGATTCCTAGAGAGGAAGATTCCTAGAGAGAAAGATTCCTAGAGAGAAAGATTCCTAGAGAGAAAGATTCCTAGAGAGAAAGATTCCTAGAGAGGAAGATTCCTAGAGAGAAAGATTCCTAGAGAGGAAGATTCAAGAGAGGAAGATTCCTAGAGAGAAAGATTCCTAGAGAGAAAGATTCCTAGAGAGGAAGATTCCTAGAGAGGAAGATTCCTAGAGAGGAAGATTCCTAGAGAGGAAGATTCCTAGAGAGAAAGATTCCTAGAGAGAAGATTCTAGAGAGAAAGATTCCTAGAGAGAAGATTCCTAGAGAGGAAGATTCCTAGAGAGAAAGATTCCTAGAGAGAAAGATTCCTAGAGAGAAAGATTCTAGAGAGGAAGATTCCTAGAGAGGAAGATTCCTAGAGAGGAAGATTCCTAGAGAGAAAGATTCCTAGAGAGGAAGATTCCAAGAGAGGAAGATTCCTAGAGAGAAAGATTCCTAGAGAGAAAGATTCCTAGAGAGGAAGATTCCTAGAGAGGAAGATTCCTAGAGAGAAAGATTCCTAGAGAGAAAGATTCCTAGAGAGGAGATTCAAGAGAGGAAGATTCCTAGAGAGAAGATTCCTAGAGGGGAAAGATTCCTAGAGAGAAAGATTCCTAGAGAGGAA